ACGCACGCACGCACACACACACACACACACACACACACACACACACACACATACATACATACATACATACATACATACATACATACATACACAACATACACCATACAGCGGTAGTGCACGCCTGGCGTGTTCACTGACTGCATCATACATCCAAAACGTGTGGGAGCGCTATCCGTTTCGGGCTCACAAGTCGGGGCAGGCGTGGCACACCCTCGACACCACAGGGAGTGCGCAAAGCGTGGTAAGCGAACAATTTCCTCGACACCACAGGGGGCGAGCTGGGGGTGGGAGCGCTATCCGCGTCGGGCTCGCAAGTCGTGGCAGGCGTGGCACATCCTCGGCACCACAGGGGGTGAGCTGGGGGGAGCGCTATCCGTTTCGGGCTCGCAAAGCGCGGCAGGCGTGGCACATCCTCGGCACCACAGGGGGTGAGCTGGGGGTGGGAGCGCTATCCGTTTCGGGCTTGCACAGCGTGGCAGGCGTGGCACTTCTTCGACACCACAGGGGATGCGCTGCGGGTGGGGGCGCTATCCGTTTCGGGCTCGCAAGTCATGGCAGGCGTGACACATCCTCGACACCACAGGGGGGGAGCTGGGGGTGGGAGCGCTATCCGCTTCGGGCTCGCAAAGCGTAGCAGGCGTGGCACTTCCTCGGCACCAAGGGGGTCAGCTGGTGGTGGGAGCGCTATCCGTTCCGGGTTCGCAAATCGTGGCATGCGTGGCACTTCCTCGACACCACAGGGGATGCGCTGGGAGTGGGAGTGCTATCCGTTTCGGGCTCGCAAAGCGTGTCAGGTGTGGCACACCCTCGACACCACAGGGAGTGCGCAAAGCGTGGCAGGCGTGGCATTCCCTCGACACCACAAGGGCTGCGCTGTGGGTGGGAGCGCTATCCGCGTCGGGCTCGCAAGTCATGGCAGGCGTGGCACATCCTCGACACCACAGGGGGGGAGCTGGGGGTGGGAGCGCTATCCGTTTCGGGCTCGCAAAGCGCGGCAAGCGTGGCATTTCCTCGGCACCACAGGGGGAGCGCAGGGGATGGGAGCGATATCCGTTTCGGGCTCACACTGCCCTAGCAAGCGTGGCAAATTCTCGACACCACCAGGGGTGCGCACGGGGTGGTCACTGACTGCGGCCGCTATCCGTGACGGTCGCACAGGGGGACGCAAGCGAGGTGAGTAGTATCATCACAACGATTTTTCAGTCACCTTGGCTCATGCCGGCTCAGACCGTCCGGGTTTGCACGCAGGCGTCACCAACGGTATCGGCGGGGCAAAGGCCACCAACATCATTTTCACATGCTGCACTTCAGTAATCATCACTCCAGCCAAAGTATGTGGGGTTCCTCGGTAGCGTAACTCAATGTTCCCCGACCCCCCACACTGGAAATGGAGGGCAACTTGAGGCCTTCGGGTTGGGTTGGGGTGGTTGGTGGGTGGTGATATACGTACTGCCATCAGAATAGGCCAGCACCCCCTCGGACGAACCCTAGAGTCTAGAGGCGTCATCCAAAACCCGCCGCCGTGCCCCCTGGCACGCTGAGGCTAAGGCTGGATGAAGAGAAAACGGCATAAATATAAATGTTTGGCGTTCCGCGCGCATTTCTTGGATCTAGCGCGGATCCAAGAAGACTGCGTTCGGCGCCAAAAGCTTATGTTTATGTCGCCTTTTCTTCTTGGAGAGGCGTGGAACAGTGCCAAATGCTGCCTGGCAAGACTTCTGCGAGGCCTCTGCGGAAGATCACCCACCCTAGATGTCGCTCTGGTGACCTTCCTGGAGCCACTCGCTCCACTCGTGCGTCGAAGTTGCGTCGAACGTCCGTCGACTCGAATACAAACTGCGTCGACCCCGCGTCGAAGCCGAGGCGAACCTGCGTCGAACCTGCGTCGAACCTCAGTCGAACAGATCCGTTAGGTGGGCCCCAGGAAGGTCCCCAAAACGAGCATCGGACCCACCCGATCCTGCCACTCCGCCGCGTGCCCTACGGCCCTCTCCCCAGGAGCTCCCCCTTGGCGGCCCGAGGCTTCTCGCCGGGCTCTCGAAAAATATCTCCGCGAGGCTTCCAGGCCGAAGGCCGTTGGAGATGTCACGGTCGGCAACGCCCCCGGAGGCCGAAATCGATAAGAAACGCACGAAGATCGACAGCCTCCGAAATCGATGACAAACCTGGCGCACTCCTCCTCCTCCTCGTCCTCCTCCTCCTCCTCCTCCTCCTCCTCCTCCTCCTCCTCCTCCTCCTCCTCCTCCTCCTCCCCCGTCTCCTCCTCCTCCGCCTCCTCCTCGTCCTGATCCTCCTCCTCCACCTCCTCCTCCTTCTGCTCCTCCTCCTCCTCCTGCTGCGCGACCTTCCAGCTTCCGGCGTAACGTTCATCCTTATTTCAAGCCTTCGTGGCAGTTTTCGGTCTCCAGGACGACCACAAAAAAATCATGGATGAAAACGTACCGAACCTGCCGAACAACCGCCGGAGGCACGAGCTATGGCCCGAAGACCAGGTCCTGACTTTTTCTCCTCCTCCTCCTCCTCCTCCTCCTCCTCCTCCTCCTCATCATCATCATCATCATCATCATCATCATCATCATCATCATCATCATCATCATCATCACCACACACACACACACACACACACCACCACCACCACCACCAGCAGCAGCAGCAGCAGCAGCAGCATCATCATCATCATCATCATCATCAGCACCAGCATCATCACCACCAGCATCGTCATCATCATCATCATCATCATCATCATCATCATCAGCAGCAGCAGCAAGATAATCATCATCGTCATCATCGTCACAATCATCATCATCATCATCATCATCATCATCATCATCATCATCATCAGCATCATCATCATCATCATCATCATCATCAGCATCATCATCATCATCATCATCATCATCACCACCATCATCATCATGATCATCAGAATCAGCATCGTCGCCATCATCATCATCATCATCATCATCAGCAGCAGCAGCAGAATCATCATCAGCATCATCATCCTCATCCCCATCTTCATCCTCATCCCCATCCTCATCCTCACTCTCCTCCTCCTCCTCATCCTCCTCATCCTCCAACGGCCCGCCTTGTAGGTCCCACGAGGACCCCCAAGAGCACCTCCAGATGCCAAAATAATTGATTGTCCATGGGGTTTGGGAGGAATGTAGCGTTCTCATCGTTTAAACTCTCAGAAGCCCATGACGGCCCAAGCAGCCTCCAAGATGCCCCAAAGACGGCACAAGAAGCCCCCAGGAGGACCCCAAGACAGCCCAAGAGGGCCCAAACACGGCCCGAAAAGGCCCCCAAGACAAACCCAAAAGCCCCCAAGACGGCCCAATACGTGTTGCCAGAGGCAGGTCGCGGAGCGGAGCTGAAGCCCTAAAGCAACAGATCCTGTACATCGACTATTTGCTGAATGCCGACGTCTCACAATATTACACTAATGCACCGATCGTTTTACGTAACGCTATTATGTCTCCCCCCCTTACCCCCCCCCCGAGGCCACGCCACTTCCGTCGACCCAAAAATGGAGGAGCTTTCTGGACATCAAAAACCTACCAAAACCAACGGAAATTCAATTATTTCGGCTTCGTGGGCCTGTTGGGAGCCCAAAGGGGCCTCAAGATGGCTCAAGATGGCCTCGAAACCCGCCAGGGCCTCCAGACGCCGAATTGGTTTTTGACGAATTTCACGGCCCTGGCGATGACGGCCCAAGAAATCTCCAAGAAGGCCCCAAGACGGCCCAAGAAGCCCCCAAGACGGCCCAAGGAAGCCCCATGACGGCCCAAGGCCCCTCAAGACGGCTCAAGAGGGCCCCAAGAGAGCCCCAAGGCGACCGCGAGAGGCCCCCAACACGGCCTCCGAAGGGACCAGACGGTGCAAGAGGGCCCCAAGACGGCCCTAGACGCCCCCAAGAGGCCCTAGAGGCCCCGAAGAAGTCGTCAAGAGGCCCCAAGAAGACCACAAGAGGCCCCGAAAAGCCACCCAAAGAGGCCCCCGCAACGAGGAGACTGCACGCGCCCCGGACGCGCACCCCGACAAGCGCGAGGTATCCACGTCCGGAAGGAGCGCGTTGAGCAGCAGCGTTTTCTGCGGATGCTGCAGTGCAACGCACGCAAGCGTTGCAGCAGTGCTGCATCTGCATTGTTTTACATCAAAATGTAATCCCCCTGGCCCACCCCTGAGGCAACGCCACTGTCGTCGACCCAAAAGTGGAGGACCCTCTGGGCCTCAAAATTTACCCAAACCCGCCCGACGGAAAATCCAAGTTTGGGGAACGTTGGGCCTCTTGGCGGTCTAAGAGGGCGCCAAGACGATAAGGATGGCCTCAGCACAGGCTAAAATTGCCCCAAGATAATCCAAGATGTCTGCAAGAGGCGCAAAAAGCCCCCAAGACGGTCCAAGAGGGCCCCAAGAGGGCCCAGCCACAATCACTGATTTTCCATACGTCAGCTTTTGCAGGACTTGAGCGCTCTCGCTTTCTTTTTGTTTCTCTCTGAAAGGCCCACGACGGCCCAGCCGGCCTCAAAAATGGCCCCAAGACGGCCCGACAAGCCCACAGGAGGGCCCCAAGACGGCCCAAGAAGACTCCAGGACGGCCCAAAGAGGCCCCCAAAACCGCCCAAGAGGCTCCCAAGACGGCCCAAGAGGGCCAAGAGAACCCCAAGAGAGCTCCAAGGCGGCCGCGAGAGGCCCACAGGACGGCCTCTAAAGGAGCCAAGTGGCGCAAGAGTGCCCCGAGACGGCCCAAGACGCCCCCAAGAGGCCCCACGAAGCCCCAAAGAGGGCAAGAAGCCCCCAGGAGGCCCCAAGAGGCCCCCGAGAGGCCTCCGAGAGGCCCCGAAGACACTCCCACCAGGCCCCGCAACGACCGGACGTGCTCCGGACGTGCACCCCAGGAGGCGAGGGGAATCTCTTCGAGGCTTCCAAGACGGCCCAGGCTCCGGCCGAGGGGGGGCGCTCGCCGCGGCGGGGGGCAGCCCTCCCCCCCGCGCGCTGGCCTGAGCGTGACCTTCTGGCGGTCCACCTGGGGCAGTGCAGAAGGGGGCGCCAACGAGGAAGGGGGCGGAGGAGGAGGGCGGACGAAGGCGGAGGTCGGAGGAGGAGACAGAGGATGAGGAGGAGAAAAAGGAGGCGAAGGAGGAGGAGGAGGAGGAGGAGGCGGAGGGAGGGCGGAGGGCGGAGGGAGAGGGAAAGAAGGAGGTGGTGGAACAAAACAGAGGGGATGCGGAAGAGGGGCCACATCTTTCATCGTCCCTCCTCCTCCTCCTCCTCCGCCTCCTCCTCCTCCTCCTCCTCCTCCTCTCCTCCATTCCTTCTCCTTATAAATAATTTCTCCCTGTCGCACCCCGAGGACAGTGTTTAGGGCGAACCGGGCGTTTCGCCTGAGACTTCCGTACCATTTATGACTCTGGAGTTTTCACAGTTGGAGGGCGGGTCGTTTTCAAAATGTAGCTCTCGCCTTAGCGCCGCGCACACTCGTCTGAAAAATTTGCAAGGGCTTCACGGATTGAAGGCGGGTGGTTTTCAAAATGTGGCTCTCGCCTTAGCGCCGCGCACTTTCGTTGTACAAAATTGCACGGGTTTCACGGATTGAAGACGGGTCGCTTTCAAAATGTAGCTCTCGCCTTAGCGCCGCGCACATTCGTTGTAAAGAAAATCAAGAGCTTCACGGATTTAGGACAGCTCCTTTTCAAAATGTGGCTCTCGCCTTAGCGCCGCGCACATTCGTTGTAAAAAATGCAAAAGCTTCACGGATTGTGGCTCTCGCCTTAGCGCCGCGCACATTCGTTTTCGAACTGTGCTAGATGTTCACGGATTCCCATAATCAACGTACCAGAAATAATGTTTTGGCACGACTCAGGATTAATTATGCGGGTGCAACAGTTATGTTGGTTCGCGGTGTTGAAAACCCAAAAATGGCGCTCTGACACAACTCCAGACCGTCAAGACGCAGCAGTCAGGTTGATACGTGGCGTTGAAATCCCGAGGACAATGTTGTGGCATACTTCAAGATCTTCAAGCGGTTGTCTTCCAACGAGGCAATTCCCTCAATGGAAATGAACCAGGGGCCTATGAAGAGGGAGCTTGGAGGGAGGGTTAATTCCAACATCATTGATTACTCTTGGGTTTACACTGGTCCTCCTCCTCCCCCTCATTCTCCTCCTCCTTCCCGCTCTCCCTCCGTCTCAGAGAGCTCGCACCCATAAGCTAGTCCACTTCTACTGTATCCCCCCATCACTCCTCTCACGCGTCCTTCTTCCCCCTTCTCTCTTCTCAACCCCTATTCCTCTTCTCCTGCGCCTCCCATACCCACCCCTCACCCCGCACGCGCGGTGGGGGAGAGGGTGGAGGGAGGGAGGGAGGGAGGGAGCACCATGAAGGTGTGCGTAAGAGAAGAATGGAAGAGCAGCGTGAAAGAGGAGGTGATGGAAGAGGGGACGCAGGTGGGATGAGGGGGCGGAGCAGGAGGAAGGGGTTCGTGTTTTCATTGCCTTTCCCCCGCCTGCCACTCAACGTCGTCTTCACCAGCCCACCTCCGCCCTTCTCGTCCTCGTCTCCCTACCTCTCCCATCGCCCCTTGTTTTGAACATCGAACTCTCTCGCGTTACTTCTCCTCCTCCTCCTCCTCCTCCTCCTCCTCCTCCTCCTCCTCCTCCTCCTCCTCATCCTCCCAACCTATGGTTGTACATGCTGGGATTTCCAACCGCTACTGAGGGGACGGCTCGTTGTCGCAACATAGTCCTCACTCGAGGCGTTCCGGCACTTGTCGCTGTCTTGAAAACCCAAGGAGTTGCGCGCATGCCGAAGGGAGGGTAGTGTTCAAAATGAGGCTATCACTTGAGACCCATTTGTCATGTGCGGTTGCGACGCTCAAGCCTTCCAACATAGACACTACAGCCGTTACCAACAACACGGCCTCCACCCGAAAAACAACGTATACTATAGCCAAAAGCCCCAGGAGGCGAGCGAGGGTCCTGGTAGTGGGTCTGACATACAAAATTCCCTCCCTGGAGCGTGGTTTTGTATACTGAAAGTGGCCGCAGGCGGTGAAATCTGACTTGGGTGGGGAGGATGTGGTTTACAAGAAAAAACTTGAGGACGGTTGGAGAGTAATCACCGCTCAAACCAGACGTGCTTTGGCGCGCTACGCTGCCGAATCTTAACGAGATCGTCGGTTCACATTTTCCAGCTGCCACCTCCCGAGGCATGGCCACACAGTCAAGCTACCACGATATGGAACGCCAAACAAAGCACGGAACCACCCTCATTCTGCCCCAAAAAAACACACGGGTTCACACAAGGAATGCCAGGGGAACAAGCTCTTCGTCCACGGCACTGGTGGTCCGACACAGCGTTCGAACCCTAGAGGCGCTAACATAGAAGGATTCGAGTAGGGAGCCCAGAAAGAACGTATGCGCCCAGCTGCGTACCCGTCGGTCGGAAGAAGTGGGTAGAATTAAGTCGGGCGTGTACCCTTCCAAGGGGATTTTCGACGAAAAATTAAAAAGATACTCCAAAAATACTCCAAAATGGTCAAAAAATACTCAAAAAATAGTGCCCAGACTATGTTTTGACTATTTTTTAATATTCCCGCTGTAGAGGGACAGGCCCGACTTAACTGTAGAGGAAGGAAGAAGGAAACCACTCGATCCTTCAAGTAGGAAGGCGCCCAAAGTAGACTGGGATCTGGAGATCCAAAGAATACATACTCCGGCGCATGCGACTGGCGTTGGTTTCTGACACCGCGAAGATCGTTCAGCCTTGAGCGATCGGCCGCTTCCTAAACGTCATATCGTTCAACATCGACCGATTCTGTGTCGCCAGCGGCGTTCGACTTTGAACGACGGCGGCGGGGTCGCCGCTGGTCGACACGACGCAAACCAACCGTGCGCGCCCAGCCACGTGCATATGAATATGCCCCCCCAGTTCGCGAGATGCCACCCTCCTGTCATGCACTCTCGCGCGCAGTGCGCTCGCTGCTATCGGAATCCATGTGCGTTCATGTACCCGTTACGTCTCTGACTGACCAAGGTACAGCGAGCGGGGCGGGGGTTAAGACGCCTCAATGCCAGATCAGCTCGAGTTTCTAGTACCCCCGCCGCCCGAAGAACAAACTGCGTCAATTACGCACGTTCGAAGGTCGGCGCAGATTTCTCGGATCAGCGCCGGGCCCCACGGCGGAACCTCCGGTGCCGCCCCTGGCGCGCTCCGCGCGCCAGGCAGGGACACGGGGGGGGGCCCAGCGCCGATCCGAGAAATGCGCGGCGAGCTCCGAAAGTTTCTGTTCACCCCGCTTTTCCTTCCTCGGAGGTACAGTCAGACCTAAGCCAGAGGCACATCCTTCGGGAACATGAGACCCTCCTCCGGCCAAAAAAACAGAGCATCCAAGGCCACCCTCCCCAGTTCGCACAAGAACATCCAACAGGCACGGAGAACAATAGGGCACCCTCCCCGAACCGACCTCGACCTCATACTTTTGTCCATCTGCATCGGGAGCAGCCAAGAGGGGGCGCCCAAGAGGGAGTGGCGCAATCATGGCCAGCGGCGCGTGCGCGGCCCAGGGGGAGCTGCGGACGCACTGAAATAAGAAGAGGTGCCATGAAATCTGGGGAGATGCCATGGCCCCCGCCAGGAGAACTCCCCCCCTAAACATCACCCCCCCTCTTTGCCGCCCTTGACTGTAGGGGCAAGGCACAGACCTTCCAGCCGCGCCAGAACGGGCGCCCCCGCTCGGCAGAAGGCGTCGTCGCCGTGCCGTTTCCCTCCTCGCCCGCGGACCCCCCGGGGCTCGGCGGCCTGCCCGCCCCCCCCCCTAGCGGCGCCACGCGGCGCGCGCTCCGGCGGACGACGGCGCACGGCCGACGAGGAGCGTACGGCCAGACGGCGGGACGGGGCACGGCGTGCAGGAACAAGGAAAGGCGACACCAGCACCACCAGGGCGAGGAGATGCAAGGAGGCAAGGGGGTCCTCCCTGGTGGCGTGGCCCCCCCCTCTCGCTCGAGGGATCCCCAGCCTCCAGCTCGGGGGGGCATCGTGGACCTCCTCGCTGGAGGTGGGCCCCCTGGTGGTGTTGGTGTCGCTTCTCCTCCCTCCCAGCGTGGCGGCGATCGTGACGACGCGACGCGACGCGACGCGGCGGCACGGCGCGGCGCGGCGCGACGCGGCGGCGGCCGCGGCGGCGCGACGGCAGGGCGCGGCGCAGTGCTGGCTGCGGGGATGCCCGAGGCCAGGGCTCCCGCGGGCGTTCTGCGTGCGTTCCTGCCCCTCCTCCTCGCTCCTCCTCGCTCCTCCTCCTCGCTCCTCCTCCTCCTCCTCCTCCTCCTCCTCCTCCTCCTCCTCCTCCTCCTCCTCCTCCTCTCCTCCTCGCTCGCTCGCTCGCTCGCTCGCTCGCTCGCTCTCCCTCCTCCTCCTCCTCCTCCTCCTCCTCCTCCTCCTCCTCCTCCTCCTCCTCCTCCTCCTCCTCCCCTCCTCCTCCTCCTCCTCCTCCTCCTCCTCCGCCTCCGCCTCCGCCTCCGCCTCCTCCTCCTCCTCCTCCCCTCCTCCTCCTCCTCCTCCTCCGCCTCCTCCTCCTCCTCCTCCTCCTCCTCTCCTCCGCCTCGTCCTCGTCCTCGTCCTCCTCCTCCCCCTTCCTGCTCCTGGTCGGGCCCTGGGGGAGCGACGGAGGCCGGAACGGACGAACACGGCCACGACGACGACGACGACGACGACGATGACGACGACGACGACGACGACGACGACGACGACAACGCCCATGACGTCGACCACGACGACGACGACCACCACCACCACCACCACCACCACCACGGCTAGGGGCGGCGGCGGCGGCGGCGGCGGCGGCGGCGGCGGCGGCGGCGACGACGACGACGACGACGACGACGAAGACGACGACCGAGACAGCGCGCCCTGAGCGCCGATGGTCGCCGCAGGCCGCCGAGACGCCGCCGAGATGCCGCCGAGATGAGAAGAGAAACACCACAAAACAGGAGCATTTGGCGCTCCGCGCGGATTTCCTGGATCTGCGCC